GCTGCATTAGTTCCCCCAACAGTTAGGAGGTCTCTATTATAGTATTGGGCTAGCCAATACTTAGGAAGGCTAAGGAAGGCTAAGAAGGTTCTTAGGAAGGTTGAAGGAAGTTTGAGTCAAGTTTGGATTGGGTGTGTCAGGAAGTAGAGACCAGTTCTGGGACCAGAACTGTCAGAAAGTTGGACAATCAGGTGATTGGGTATCTTGGTAATTTTTAGAGAATTATCATTGGTAAAGAAGCAGTAATTATGGCTCAGCACCTGTGGCTCAAGCGGCTAAGACACCAGCCACATACACCTAAGCTGGCAGGTTCGAATCCAGCCTGGGCCCACCAAACGACAATGATGACTGCAACCAAAAAATAGCCGGGCGTTGTGGCGGGCACCTGTGGTCCCAGCTACTTGGGAGGCAGAGGCAGGAGACTCGCTTGAGCCCAGGAGTTGGAGGTTGCTGTGAGCTGTGATGCCACGGCGCTCTACCCAGGGGGACAGCTTGAGGCTCTGTCTCAAAAAAAAAAAAGAAGTGGTAGTTACTCTTACCAGAGAGAAAAGAAGAAACTGTTTGTTGTTGTGGTTGAGGTATGACCTTCCCTCTGCTGTGTCTGAGGCATAGCCTCAGAGAGGTCTTGTCTGATTGCTGTTTACATTCTGTGAAAATTGTGTTCAATTGGGAAATCTTTGCTTCAGCCCAGGTGTTAGCTATTGGCTGCCAGCTGTTGGAACCCTTTTTACTTTCTCAGGAACCACTTAGAGAGATATTGGGAGTTTTCTGATAGAGACAGGAAGTGCCCTGAGAGCAGTGCATTCTGGGGCACATGGGCCGTGTGCAGGTTTTGCCTCAGACGTCCAGAGAACCAGGTGGGAGGATGAGCAGCTGTGGGAGAGAAAGGCATGTGGGAAGATAGTGGGATTGGGAAATTTCTACACATCAACCGCACCCCTGGCTGTGGTTCTGAGAGGTGGCCTTACATGCCAAAGCCATGAGTGACTGGAAACACTGGAACTAATAGATGCAGTCAAGCCAGCCAGGGGAGGGGAACAGGAGACCTCTGGGGAAAAGCAGAGCAGAACTATGAAAGGGGGCAGTGCACCCAAAGGATGCAGAGGACGAGCCTGGCTCTAGAAATGGTCACCGGCAGTGTGGTGAAATAAATTTCCAGAAACATCGTGGCATAAAGATGGGGCTTGCACGAGTCAGGGGATAAAAATCTCAAGATTATAGGCAGTCATTCAAAGGCACCTGAATGACGAAAGTGGAAATGCACAAGTTTGGGAAGGATTTAAAGAAAAGGCATAATTCTACACAGCTGAACGTGAAATCACATTTAAAGACAGTAAAGAACTGACTTGATGATGTAGGGACATGAACTAGTGAACACGCTGGGCAGATCTGAGGATGCTGGAGAAAGAGAATGAGGGGAGAGTCACGACAGAGAATAGGAAAGAAATGGAGAGTGGAGAATAGGAAACCTAAGCCCTGGAAATCCACAAGGAAAGATCAAACAAAATGGAGCTAAAATCAGTGCCTCACATTTTCTGTTACACTGGGTCTCCCTCCCATTTTGGTCTTTCTAAAATTAAGATGCATTTCATATCTTAAAATTAGCCTGTCATTCTCCCCGCCCCCAAATAGTCACTGGCGTACTTTTTCCAAATAATTTCTTATTAGAATCAAGGAAATATGTTAATGGGAAAACATTCCTTTAGTTAAAGAATGGTCCAAGTGGTACGGATTGAAGGGCTCACTTGAGTTCCAAAGCATACTAATGGAAAATACCCCAAACGAAGGACCTCTGGGCAAAACTTTTAACTCTTAGAGGAAAAAAAAAATTCTACAAGCCTCCCAGTTTAAATATTAAATTACGCAAAAAATAATAAATGCCAGGCTGCCTTTGACCGCTCTCCAACTTGAAGGGTTGAAAGTTCACAGAGGTTAAAAGTTGTGACCCAGGAATTTTTCACTCGGCCAAGTTGTTCATGTTTAATAGCTATAAAAAGACATTTCTGGGACATACAAGGTGTATCAGTCAGGGTTCTCCAAAGAAACAGAACCAATAGAAGATATATATGCATGTATACATGTATGTATACACACATATATGCACACACACGCATATATATACGTATATATTCTGTTATACGTAGATATACATATACATATAAATAGAGTTTATTTTCAGGAATAGGCCCATGAAACTGTAAGGGCTGGCAAGTCTGAAATCTGATGGCAAGCTAGAAACTTAAGATTTCTGTCACTAACTTGGGAGGGAGAAAAACATTCTCCTTTGGGGGGAAATCTCAGGTTTTGATCTTAAGGCCTTCAAATGATCAGATGTGGCCCACCCGCAATAGAAGGGCAATCTGCTTTACTTAAAATCAACTGAGTGTAAATATTAATCACATCCACAAAATACTTTGACAGCAACAACTAGGCTAGTGCTTGGTGGAAGAAAGGGACTTAGTTGAGTTGACATATAAAACTAGCCATCACATAGGGAGTCACAAAACATGTCAGCCTTTAAAAAACAAATTTCTTGAAAATATATGTATATCTGACACACACATATATGTACATATGGGTGTGTATGGTATTATAGCTCACAGCAACCTCAAACTCTTGGGCTCAAGAGATCCTCTTGCCTCAGTCTCCTAGGTAGTTGGGACTACAGGTGCCTGCCACAACACCTGGCTGATTTTTTATCTTTAGTGAAGACAGGGTCTTGCTCTTGCTCAGGCTGGCCCCGAACTCCTGAGGTCAAGGGATCCTCCCACGGTGGCCTCCCAGAGTGCTAGGATTATAGGCATGAGCCACTATACCTGGCCAAAGATATTTTAATTTCATTTATTTTTTTTTTTTTTTTTTTTGGAAAACAATATATTAATTTATTTCCATGAAAACAAAACATGGACCATCACTGAAAATAAAAGACAGATATAGTAGTTTAAGGGCGTTCCCACGGGCTGTCAGAAACCCACCAGCCCAAACACTACACTCTTCCGATATTAAAGTATTTAAGACATAGGAGAGATGACCAGCCACACACATGTAAACATCTTCTATTCCAGAAAGATTTCTCCTTCTACATAATAAAGATCCAGTGTAAACCACTTCTTCTTCTCAGGTGCTGTCATTTAAACAATAAGTCAAAAAGAGAAAATTTTTATACTTCACCAATGACCCTGGGGACGTTCCCAACCCCTCAACCCTTTACCACCAAATACAATTCCATTTTTTTTTCAGTAGCAGGAAAAAAAGGTTAAAGGTTTTCCTTCAAAGCCATTCCCTTTAAATATGATTAACATTCAACATTAAATATGATTAACATGATTAACATTACAAAAAATAAAATTGTGTTAATTAAATGTAACAGTTGTAACAATTGTTTTTCATTAGAATAAATAAATATTTAGGAACTCAGTGGATAAGAGGAATGTTAATGTAGACCTCACATTTTTCCTGGGGTGATTTTTTCTCAACACTGAGACCGATCTTATAACCTACCTTCTCTGATATACTTTATCAGAGCTTTATTTCACCTTCTTTCAATATTCCACCTCAGGAAATGAACTGAGAAGACCAGTAAGAGAAGAATCCCAATTCTCAGACAGAGAATTTGTTTAATTCTTAATGCTTAGCTTCAGTTTCTTCATCTATAAAATGGGTGTAATCATGAGAAGCACGCATGACTGTTATGAGGTTTGCATGAAATGAGATTTACAGCAGAACGAGCAGAATGCCTAGACCACAGGAGGCTTTAGCTTCTGTCTCCTCCTTCCTCCAACCTGTGCAATAATCTCTGATTTAACCTTCAATTTGTAATTATTATTGGTATCTTTGGCTTGATACTACAACACACGGTCCTGCATGTCAATGCAGGGTCATTATTGAAGATTCTCCAGAGCAATGTCCAAGGTTGACATTATTCTTAAGATTAAATAGAGTGAAAAAAGTTCTGTCTTATTCTTCCTTCTCTTGTCTCAGCACATCTGGTACACAGTAGTCACTCAGGGAATATTAATCAATTGCAGGTTGAAAGAATGAATGGGTGAATAACTGAGGGGCAAATAAACATGCTCACCCATAAATGAGCGCTCTTAAAAATCGAGGCATTCCTATCAGCACTGGGCATTGTAAAACTACTCAGGGAATAGTAGGGTATAGTTAAGAGCCTCACGGGATAGAATTTGGTGTCTGTTTTGCAAGTAAGATAATATTGGGGAGGGGGGTCCCAGAAGAGGAAAGTGATTCAGTGTTACTAGGTCTCCATAACAGCCCGTCTCTTGTAGACATACCTTCGTTCTTACGAGGACTTTTCAGTGTTTTCAGTGGAAAACATGAGAAAGGGGAGAGTACATTCTGGCATATAATAGAAAACTGTCCTGTTCCCCCGAGGCCCTGCTACTGAAACAGCAGACAATGACTTCTGTCTGAAAGCGCACACTGTGTCTTGCTAATGATTTTACACCATCTATATACAGAACTCTGGATGTGGGTAAACTGAAAATACTAGTGTTGTAACTCAATGCTAGGAGTTTACGCGGTAAAGGAAATTGGTGAGTTACCCAGAAAGCTGTTTCAATGTTTACGTTTAGTTGAGCAACCAGTGGTGACTATTCATGTGTTACAAAAGATTCCTTTTTTGAAGAAACCTAATCCTTATTTTCCTCAATAGTATTATCTACAATTCTCCTTTTTTGTTAGAACATGTTTATATATTAAGTATCTAGTGCAAAGATCGCCTGACATTTAAATTTATCACTGATCATAACAACAAGTGAAAACAGAGATGAGCACGAGGAAACAGCAAGACTGTCCAGAGTGCCAGGAGGCGCTACCTCGCCACCCTGCTTGTGTGTTTCACAGTGTCCAGTGGATATTTTAAGTATAATTATGAGCCAGGTCCTGGAGCCATCCTTGTGGTCCTGAAACCATTATATCACCAAGGTGAAAGTCTCTCACAAAGAAATCTCTTCTTCCCAGCTGCAGTTTCCCTTCAGCCATGAGTTGTCATAGATCAAAAATACCAGCGGGGTTGTATTGCAATTTCACTCTGATTAAGGGTTCTTTCTCGAAGCCTCAGTTCTAGGCATTCCACGGTAAGGGGATATGTATTAAGTTCGAACTTGTTAGCAAACAGGCTCCGTGAATTTACCAGCCACTTTAAGTCTCCGTTTCCATAGATACAAATGCCATGTACATAATGGCCGTGGCAGCCTCCGTGTTTGTCTTCCATGTCGCTCCATTTTATGGCTCTGAGGTTACCGGACCAGGATGCGTTTGGCATAGAGCCAGGGACACCTGGAATCCTATTGAGTGTCACCCCGAAATGCTCACCAGGAGAGTAGGTGTCTTTTGACCACTCAAGTAAATCAATGGTCCTCTGGTCTTGAAGAACAAAATTAGCAAATTCCCTTGTAAGGGCCACATAGGCAGAGCCAAAGTAAATGGTCAGACTGTGAGGAGGAGGAGGAGGCATTTTTCTCATCCCAGTCCACAGCATGAAAGAAAAAAAAATAGTATCTCTGCTCCAAGTGCACGTATTTTGTCCTCCTGGTCAAACGAGGAGGGGGCAGCCCCCCAGGTGTGATATTTTTGCCTTTAAATCCTTTCAGATACGGAACTATTTCCCTGTTGGTTTTCAGGGGGAAATCTTGCCCGCAGGTGTTGATGGCGTACTTCCAGGGAACTTTGGAGGTGACAAGGTCTTTCAAGCAGTTCAGGTCAGCCTGGAGCCTGGAGATTCCTGCATAGACCACAGACTCCCTCTTAGAAGCCACAAAGGCATTTGGGAAGCAGCTCAGTAGTTTTCCCACAGCATCTGTGAAAGCAGCTGAGGCTTTCTCATCCACATGAACACAGTAGAGGTTCTGGGGAGTGTAAATGGCCCGGAAGAGCCTTTCAAATGTATCAAAGTCCTTGTGGATGGCCATGACATACGCCAAAGGGAACTCAGCTTCATCTCTGGACAAAGGTTCCATTATGTAGTGATTCTGGATCAAGTATTGTTGGCAAGTTCTATTTCTCAGCGGTGTCACTGGTATATTTTCATCCAAGAAAATTTCCTTTCCTGTCACAACCATGTCACAAACTTCTGCAAGGTTTGAAGAGTTCGAGATTTTCCCCACTTGCAGGTAGTTTTTTCGGACTAAATTGTTTGTATACAGGAACAAAAGAATTATGAATGTGGCCGTAAGTCCCACGACAAACTCAAACAACTTCAGCTTCATTTTTCCTACGAACTCTTCTTAATTTGTCACTTGCCTGCCCAGAACACTGAGAAATCTGCTCTAACTTCTTATTTTCAACAAGGAGAGGAAAGTTACCACATACTTAACAGAAGGGGGATCAACTGTAAGTGCCTTTTTTTCTTACATAGGAAGAATTGAGTGGATATGCAAACATAAGCCCGTGGGGCCAACTGACCAGCAGTCAAGACCTGGGCATGTTTGGGCATCTCTGTCTAGGGCAACCTCAAGTCGAAACTCTGCCAAATCAGCCATGGCTGCCAACTCTTGGTCCTCCCAGGTGGGGTCAGGGTAGAATGTGTGTCCATCCTTCTATTTTTTCCCCCCAGAGAGGGCCATCACCACCATTACTGATGTCATCTTTGAATACAAGGGACACTATATTTCTTCAACTTCAGGCAGTTGTAGTTGTCCTAGGGCAGGTCACCATTTCCATTGACAGTATCCAGAACTGCTCAATGCCAGGGTCTCTGTATATGAAGTCACAAAGCTCTCGAGTCCCAGATCTAGGAGGTCCAATGTGATAAGTTGCTTCCAAAATGATTCCTTCGTCCTTTTCTGAGGCTGCTCCACCAGCAGGTGCCAGAGCTGGAATTCAAATCTGTCCAACTGTCCCCAGAGCTTGATCTTTTTGCTCTATACGGCCCCCTTCCATCCTCATCCTCTGATCGTCTCTGTTCCAGAGCTGCAGAGTGGGTTTCAGTAATGCCAGAAGCTTCAACAGCAACCAGGAGATGAACAGGTAGCAGCCACAAATTCCGAAGAACTCAAGATATTTTCTAAATACAAAATATAACATTGGGACAAGCATGGTTAAAAAAAAAACAAAACTATTGTTGACACAAACACCAATTAAAGCAAAAACCTGGAAACTATATGTCTATTTTTAAAATTAAATAAAGCAGCCAAAAGTATTCTTGAAATATAATTGCTCTAAAGTCAAAAATAGTATAGTAACTATAATTTAGATATAAAACCCCAGATCATACTAACAAAGAAAATAGAGGAAAAGGGAAAATAAAGTTTTTATCTTAGGTTGTGGGAATAAAAAGGCACTAATTTGTGCTTTTGATTCTTGAGAGTTGCTGGGAAAATGTACTTTAAATAATGATTTCAAAATACTAAAATTAATAACTTGTAGAATTTTAAAAATGGTATAGTGTCTTCTAAAACACCCTAGAAAGTATCATCTTGCACTAGCAGATCATGGATACCCAGTAAGGCAGCTGTCATTTGACCCCTTGGTCTTGGCATCAGTGATTCACACCTGGTAATCCCTAACACTTGGTTCTCAGCCCAGGTTGCACTTGAGAATCATCCTGATTGCAGGTAATGTGTCAGACTAATTGCTTCAGAATCTCTTGAGATGGAGCCCAGTCACCCATAGGTTGCAGCCCTCCTCAGAGGATTCCAAATTTATGCAGTCAAGTTTGTGAACTGCTGGCCTAGGCCTTTGCCCTTCCATGTGTTTCTCTGGTAAGGGCACTCTAGCAAGAAATTTGCACAGCTGCTTGCCCCTCTACCTTTCGTCTGAGTTGCCTTTTCAGTTATCCTTGGTTATCTCGGTTGCAATCTGTATCTCACTGAGGTATATAGTTCAAGGACCAGTAGCCACAACATCTCTTGGAAGCCTGTTGAAAATGCACCTGTTTCCTGGCTCCACCTTTCCTGTGTGTTCTCTTTGACTCTTAATCTTTCCTTTCCAAACTTCTAGACAGTGTTTTCAAACCTTTTTATCTCACAGCATGCTTCATCCTATAGTTAAACTTCTGTGGCACAGTTAAATTATGAAGATAAAAAAATAAAAGAATAAGAAAAGAATATACTTACTGTGCTTTGAACTTCTTTTGAAAATAATAATGATCTTAAAAAATTTTTGAACCATGCCTAAGAGCCTCTCCTGGCACACGGGTTGAAAATTGCTGTTCTGAGGATGCTCTTTGCACAACACGAGTCTGATCATGCCCTGCCACCCTCGATAAACCTGTTCTCTACAGTAAAACTCCCATATGTTGTCTATGGTAAAATCTAAGGTCCTGAAAATTGATTTCAGGATTCTCTAAGGATTTGGCATTTTTACCTTGTCCCAAACCTTCTCAAGCTTATTTCCCACCCTTTTAACTTCATATACATCAGCCTGTTAGCCATTCACCTAACCGGGCAAGCCTTTTTATACCTCAGTGCTTAGGCTAATATTTTCTTCAAAATGAAGAATGAATGAATGAAGAAAACATAAAACATTTTCCTACTAATTCTTAGTCTTTCCTGGAGCTTCATTGTGGATGCATAGATGCATCTCTGCTGGGAAGCCTTCCCTAATCTCCCAGTCAAAAGACTTCTTAGTTCTTTCATATAGCTCCTGTTTCATTCAAGTTTATGCATAAACTTGTCTGCTTTTGTTCTAGACTGTTAATTCTTGGAGGGCAGGAATAATGCTCCCTAATCTGCCAGTGAGTGGTTCAGGAAAAATGCCATGGGGCAAACTCCCTGTGTTAGCCTGCATGTAAATTCTTTCAACAGGGTCAACTCACCCCACATTCCATGGGCAGGCCTAGCCCACACTTTATTTCAGCATAAGTGAGTATTTATTGCAGAGGGTCTCTAACCTTGGCCTGTTAAGCAACTCCCTGATATTTTATGGCATTTCCATACTGTCTCGTCATCATCTTTCCCCTCACACTGGGAATGCTTGCCCTCTCCTGACACTCCCTTCATTTTACCCACATTGACACTTCCTTTCTGTGGGCCTGGTTTGTTCAAGATGAACTCAAAGGTTGAATCAACTTTATTAGGATAAGGACTCACCTTCTTTTAAATCTGGGGATAATATCTGAAGATCAAACTAAATATCTAAACAATTTCCCGGGAGCATTTGCTTGGGGAGGAAGTAGGAATTTCAATGCCAACTGAAGAAAACATCCGTGCCTTTTAGCAGTTTCTAAAGAGGATATGGCTATCTGCCTGTCTCATTTCACAGCAGAGCAAGGCTGTGCTGCTCTGGAATCATTGTAATCTAACAGAGGGTACCAAAAAAAGTGGACACATTTTTAGGAAGGAAAAAACTGTATTAAAATTGTAATAATACCCAATATGTACTGATATCATTTGTTATACTTGCATCTCTTGTAATTGCAGAAGTCAAACGTGCCCTGAGTATTACAAAAAGTAAAACCACTTTTTTCTTTCTTAAAATGTGTATACATTTTTTGGCATCCTCTGTATAGTTACAGATTCCAGCAAGAGTCTCGGCAGCCCAGAACTCTGACAGGCCCATGCACAGTCCAAGCAGTCAGTCCAACTGCAACTGCCAGGCGCCTACTGCTTAGACTAAACACACCAAAAAGGTGCCAGATGGAGGTAACTCTGGAGGTGACAGAGCCCTAGATGAAAGTGATCTATGAGAATAATCTATTTTACCCCAAATTTTTGCTTTTCTGTACAAGTGGATCCAAATGTTCTCTTGACATCATGTTCTCTCCCCCATGCAATGTAAACATGATGTTTACTGTTGTGATATAGTGATGTTATTTTATTTGGACAGAGCCCCTGAACCAAGTTCCTAAGAAGTAGAAACCAGATGCTATGCCTGTTCTCTTGATCAAGTCCCTCTTCTGTGTTTCACCAAACCAAGGGAATAAACCAAGAGAAAAGAGATGAGATCCCAGGAACAGAATCCAGCCCAGGAGGAAGAAGAATGGAGGTTCCCAGAGGCCATATTTCCAAGGAAAAATTAGGAACTGTAGATTACTTGATGTGATTAACCTTGTGGAAAATCATAGTAAGAGGCTATTGAAAACTGTGGTAAAAAGAAGTCTAAACAAATCAAAAGCAAGGCAATTATTAACTTCAGGAAAAACAAAAAGTAAGAAGAGCAACATTACTGTAGTATGCTATAATACACAGCTGTGAATATTTGTATAACAACATGAACACAGAATAATATTTAACCCAAATATTATATTCAGAGAATAAAATGTGGGAAGCAACTTGGACCTTTTAAATTAAAAAAAAAAAAAAGGTGGGAAGCAGAGGGAATAGAGCTGAAGTTACTGCACTGTAGTTTTAATTTGGATTTCTTTTTCTTTTCTTTCTTTTTTTTTTTGAGACAGGAGACTTAAGCTGTCCCCCTACGTAGAGTGCCGTAGCAACACAGCTCACAGCAATCTCTAACTCCTGGGCTCAAGCGAGTCTCCTGCCTCAGCCTGCCAAGTAGCTGGGACCACAGGCACCCACCACAACGCCCGGCTATATTTTTTGGTAGCAGCCATCATTATTGTTTGGGGGGCCCGGGCTGGATTCAAACCCGCCACCTTGGGTGTACGTGGCTGGCGCCTTAGCTATTTGATCCACAGGCACCGAGCCTAATTTGGATTTCTTATGAGTAAAGCTGAGCATCTTTTCATATTTTACTGGACCATTTTTTATTTCTTATTCTGTATATTGTCTTAATTTATTTTGATTAATTTTTATTGATTTGTTGTCCTGTTGTTGCTTAATTTTCAGTAGCTCTTTCTATGTTAGGAAGATTAGGCATTTATACATGAGTTGCAATTTGGGGGCATTTTTTTCATTTGTCTTTTGACTTTTCCTATGATATTTGGTCATGCAACAGTTTTGCTTTATTAATAGAATTCATCAAAGTTTTATTTTACAATTTTGAACTTTTGCCTTACTTTCAGAAAATCATTCCTACTTCAAGGTTATAAAATGGCTCACCTTTTTTTCCTTAATTCTTTCGTGATCTCATTTTTAGATATTTATATTAGATTAGTGTATGTGGTGCAAAATACAGATATAGCTATATCTTTCTCCAAATGGCTCTTCAACTGTTCCAA